GGGCAGGGAGGGAGGGCAGGCAAGGAGGGAGGGCAGGGCAGGCAGGGAGGGAGGGAGGGCAGGGAGGGCAGGGAGGCGAGGCAGGCAGGGAGGGCAGGGCAGGGCAGGCAGGGCAATGCCAGGCAATTCACACGAAAAGCAAGCAATGCTTTTATATCACGTTGAGCTTTTGAGAAGCGCTTTGAGACATCTGACAAGGCGCTATGTCACATCCAAACATTATTATTATTATTATTATGTTTTTTGGGGGAAAAATGACATACATCCAACCAACTTTCAGAAAGCCACACTCCAGCTACACTCCAGCTGCACCCCAGCCCTCTGGGTGGGCACAAGAGTGATTTAAAATCGACCGAATAAACGCTCCAAAGAATGACTTGCCCGGAATTGGAGAAATCTTGAGAAAGTTTTGTTTGTTTTTAGAGAAAAAAAAGGAGAAAAATTCTGTTTCCTGTTAACTTCAGTGTGTTTTAGAGCAGTTGCAGGAAATACTGTGTGTGTGTGTGTGTGTGTGTGTATAGGATGCGACTCTAACCTTTCAGTTATCAGCACTGAAACCACAAGTGTGCACCCTCCTGAACAACGAATCGTTGCAAAACATTTTTAGTACTTTTTTTTTCAAAAAAAAATTACAATTCCCAACAGGTAAGAGAGGTATTTCCAAACGTGGTGTGTAGTTCCGTTCGAATCCATTGCATTACAATGTAAAGAGAGGACTGTAATGCAAACCTAAACCGTTAGCATTATCATCATCTTGAATTCGTGCGAAATTGGAGGAGCCTCTGTTAAAATTGTGGTGTGCTTAAATATGTCAAATCATACAGAAAGATCAGTGGTTATTTTGTCTCGTTGCTGGTGCTGCTCTCAATGATCAGTTGCAGTGCTTACTCTGAGCCCTGCTCTTTGCAAATACCCCCAACGCTGTACTGTGCTGTTCCTCCTTATGTGACGAGAGTGAGGTCAGTTTCACAGTAACGTTTTATGCTGTAGATTTTTGCATTTTGAAAAATGTGTTTTTTTTTTAAAAAAAATTAAGAAACTCATGCGCTACTGGGATTTCCAGAGTCTGCAAGTAACGTGGAGGAGGTTAAATAACGTGGAAGCTTAGGCAAACGTGAAGGAGCGACGAGATGGGAGTGAGCGCAGACAAGCAGTGTTGCTGAGAGCACACAAGGAAGCCACCATGACTGATTTCCTCTTAAAGACTGTTTATAGATAGGCAATGTAATTGCAAGATGTCTCTGGGAATTAGGAATGAAGGACATTTCAAATGCACAAATAAGAAGGAAACTCCCCACAGAGGGGACAATCGATAATGCTGGGACATCAGACCACAACCTGTATTATGTATATATATATATATACACAACTCCTTTCACGAGAATGAACATCTCAAAAGCACTTCACAAATATGAGAAGTGGGAAAAAAGGGAGAATATGTATAACACTATAGTTAACTATACTAGAGCAGGAGGTAACCTTAAGCATGAATCTGTCTCTATGAACAGGATATTCCCTTGCAGACCCAAAGTATTTTCAAACCAATTTCAAATGCTTTCATCTTTTGATAGGATTCAGAATGTAGAACAATTTAAATCTAATACAATAGAATAAAGTTTGTGGCATTTCATAATCTGCTATGGAAGATGTCTGCAATGATCTTTATCTTACTTGGAAGCCATTGACTTAGTTACCTACTCCTTATCTATGGACTTAGTGACTTAGTTACCTACTCCTTATCATGGAGTCCTGTAGCTCAGTGGTTAGAGCACTCGCCTCGCAATTGAGAGATCTGGGTTCGATTCCCCGCAGGGTGAAATGTTGGGGAAGTTTCCTTCCTCCACATGCCTCTGTTTACCGAGCAGTAAGGAGGAACCCAGATGTTAGTCGATTGGCGATTGGGGTAATAATTCCTTCAAAAAGATAAATAATAATAAATTGGTCACTCAATCCACAACTGTTTGTAGGACATTGCTGTGCGCAATTGGCTGCCGCATTTCGCCCACAAAATATACAATCAATTCACTTTACAGCATATTCTGTGAAGTGCTTTGAGATGTCTCGAAGATGTGATAAGGCGCTATATCAAATGCAAGAATTATCTTGCATTTTCAACAATTTCAGATCATAACAGCTCACCTTGCCCCTCTCCCTCTTCCATGACAATCACCAGATCATCTGGGTCCCAGACACACCTTTTCTCTCTCTGGTCTGCCTGTTTTGTTGCAATTCCGCCCCCCACCACTTTGTTCTGCAGTATTAACACTCCTAACCCCTGCTTTGTTGCAATCCCCCCTTTATTTTGCATCATTAACACCTCTTTAATCCATCATCCCCTGTCCTCTACCCCATTTTCTTCTTTGTCTTCCTTGCCCTGCCTCCCCCCTCTCTGTTAGCCCTTAAAAGCCTCTCCCTCCCAACGTGCTCCCAGTTCTGATGAAGGGTCATGGACCCGAAACATTAACCCACTTTCCTTTCTTCATAGATGCTGCCTGACCTGCTGAGTGTTCCCAGCGACTTCTGTTTTTGTTTCAGATTTCCAGCATCTGCAGTATTTTGCATTTTTACACGGATTATTATTTTTATTCTTATCTAAGATTGCAATGGAATGTTGGAACTAAGTCATTTCACTGTGACGGTCTTGATAGTCTGGTTCCTGAGTCAGGTAGGTACGCAATATTCCAGGGCACTGCTGGTGACAGACCAGCTAGCATCGTTCATCGGGAGGACTTGAAGTGGCAGACTGGTCATTGCTGGCAGGGGTTCTTCCCACTTGTGTAAACCCTTTGAGCCAAGGCCCTAATGGTTAGGAACCCTACCTGGATAAGCAGTGAGAAGCTTGCCAGACAGTGATTTCAATGATAAGCTATGTCGGTTTAGCTGATTAAATTCCAGCAGTACCCCAACGCACACTCTGGGGTCTCCAAGTCCTCTTGCCAATTTGTGCCTAATAATCTCCAGAATTAGATAAACAAGATATATCACTCGAGGGAGAGAGTTCAAATTCCATTCTAAGCACAGGGTGA